GGCCTGTTTGCGACCTGAACTACTTAAAATTAGCACTTCTGTGCCTTGTGTACGAAGGACTAAAAAAACATGCAAATTTCGTGGCAGTGATTTTGAGAAACAGACAAGATAGGAAGCTGGAATTTGACATTCCAGCTTCCTATCTTGTCTGTTTCTGTGTGTGCTTTTTGAAAAAAAACGAAACTCATACACAAATACATGTGTACATACGCACACATACATAAAATACAACACGTTTATGCCCATACACACACACACACACACACACACACATATGCTTGTATACCAAAAACACAGGAAGACACATAAAACCTATATGTTCAGTGGTAGGACATATAGATTAAAATATGCGAAAAATGGACTGTTTATGTATAAATAATAAGTGATGTGCTGCAGATAGGGCATATAGAGCCAAAATAATCTATCATGGAGGAGCAGCACACATTTCATGCATGTTTTTGCAGAATGTACGAGCAGTGCCGTTTCGGTCGTCATGTGCCGTTCTTAAGAGAAGCGTTACGGGATGGGCTGCTGCGTGTGCCAACACGCTATCCAGCCACAAATCCGGGTGAATGTGATAATTTCTTGAATCAAGTGGAACGTCACATTGGTGACAACAAATCGCTTATCGGACGACTGAAGGTATCCGAATTCCTTTCGTTCGAAAAACACAGACCTCTTCCTTCTCTTTGTGCGATTTCGCGGTTGTTCAAATGCACAACATTATCTCGAGACATTGTTTGCTTCTCCTTCTGTCCTTTGGGATTCTTCTGCAAGACCGCATAAGCTTGGAGACTGAAATTTTTGAGTTTTTTGAGGCCTTCTACACGATGGGACCAAGAACCGGCATTCACTAAAACTTGACTGACCTGCGCAGTATGCACTCGTTTGTAGTTTTGGAAGAAGGCACAAGGTACGGGAACTGTAGTCGTACACAATTGCCAGATTTTTTGTTTTGGTGAAATTTTGATGCGGAAAATTTTGATGAAAGAGCTCCTTTATCGTCTACTGTTTTTAGGTTTATATGCAGTATTTTGAGAACGAAATGGCTCGTATACTGATAAACAGCGATGATATCTTCAACCGTGATCGATATCGTGCTTTGGTTGCCGAAACTCAGGTACTCAGCGGTTT